CCTCAAGCAGACTTCCCAATGGTTGTGGAGCCCTACTCGGGGCTCAATCCCAAGATCCTGAGATCATGACCTGAGCCAAAATCAAGAGTTGGACACTTAATCAACTAAGCCACACAGGCACCCTGCACCCTGAGTACACATTCTTTTTTTTTTTAAGATTTATTTATTTTAGAGAGAGAGTGTGGTGGGGGGAGAGGTAGAGGGAGAAGAAGAGAGAAACCCAAGCAGACTCCATGCTGAGCATGGAGCCCCACTTGGGGCTCACTCCCATGACCCTGAGATAGCAACCTGCGCCAAAATCGGACACAACCGACTGCACCACCCAGGCATCCCTCCAGTACTCATTCTTATTTAAAAAAAACAAAATAAAACAAAACTCAGCTTATGATGAAAAGCTACTATATTAAGTAGCCAATTTGGGACTTCAAGTGAGAAACATTAAAAGTATTCTTAGTTAAAATAAGCAAGAAAAAGAGAGTGCCTGCTATCATCCTTGTGATTGATCTTGTTTTAGTCCTGACCAGAATTGTTTAACATTCCCAAAATAAAACAATGAAAAAGTTTGTCCAGACTAATAAGACGTGTAAATATTGAAAAGAAAGAGGGACGGCTGGGTGGTTCAGTCAGTTAAGTGTCTGCGTTTGTCTCGGGTCATGATCCCGAGGTCCTGGGATGGAGCCCCACATCGGGCTCCTTGCTCAGCGGGGAGCCTGCTTCTCCTCTGCCTGCTGCTCCCCCTGCTCTCTCACTCGCTCTCTGTCAAATAAATAAATAAAATCTTTAAAAAAAATACTGAGGGATGGCTGGGTGGCTCATCCATTAAGCACCTGCCTTCAGCTCAGGTCCTGGTCCTGGGGTCCTGGGATCAAGTCCCACATCAGGCTCCTTGCTCAGCAGGGAGCCTGCTTCTCCCTCTCCCTCTGCCTGCCACTCCCCCTCCTTGTGCTCTCTCCCTCTGTCAAATAAATAAATAAAATCTTTTTTAAAAAATTAAAAATATTGAAAAGAAATAGAAATTCTTAATTATAAATGATATAATTTTATATTTAGAAAATCCTAAGGAATCACAGAAAAAATATGCATACAAATTCAGCAAAGTAGTTAGACATGGGATGAATATATAAAAATGAATAGCAGTGTTTATATGAGCTATAGCAAGTTAAAATTTCTGTATTGGGGCACCTGGGTGGCTCATTTGGTTAAGTGGCCAACTCTTGGTTTCAGCTCTGGTCATGATCTCAGGGTCGTGGAATCGAGCCCCGTGTCAGGCTCCTTGCTCAGTGGGGAGTCTGCTTGAGGATTCTCTCTCTTTCCCTCTCCTTCTGCCCCTCTGCCCACTCAACATGCTCTCTCTCTCTAAAATAAATAAATAAAATCTTTAAAAATTTTTCTTCAGTGTGTATTCCATTTACATACATTAGCCATAATTTTTTTAAACATAATAGCATTAAATCATATAAAACAATAAAGAAATAAGATAATCCTATGGGAATTAAACTATAAAATTAATTACTGAATGGGTTAGAACAGAGACATGCAAGGTATCCTTAAAGAAACTGTTTCCCAGGCCTAATATTTAAATATAATCTGATAGGAGGAAATCAGAGGTCCCCAAGGTCACCCCCAGGCTCAGCGATTCATGAGGAGTGATAATTCTCAGCATATAATCACACTCACTACTAAGATTTATCACAGTAAAAGGATACAGTGCAAGATCTCAAAGGAAAAAGGCACATGCTATCAAGTCCAGAGAAAAGCAGGCACAAACTTCCAAGAGGCCAGTGATGTCACACAGGATGCACTCAGTTCTTCTTACAAGTGAGACTAGACAACATGGGTGAAATGTCTACCAGCGAGGCTCACTAGGGACTCAGTGCCCACGGTTTTCATTGGGGACTCATTGTGTAGGCAGCCTCTGCCTGGCACATACTAACATGCCATTGTCCCAGAAGAAAAGCAGGTGCTCAGCATAAACCATCTTGTTTATACAGTCCAGGTAAAGTGAATTGCTCTTACCAGTTCTGCTAATGGTGGGAACCCTCCCCAAAATCTAAGTCCCCAGAAGCCAACCTATGACCAGCCTTGTAAGCAGGCAGTCAGGCTTGCAGTCAGGCTTGTTAGGCAACTCTCTCCACACAGTATGGTGGGGAGAAAAAAAGAAGAAGAAGAGAAAGGTTGGTCAACAAGGGAAGCAAAGAAAAAGGAGACCTTGGGACATAAATAATAGCCATCTGCATTTTAACACTATCCAAGAACAAGATCATTATGGCCAAAGATCCAGAAGGCCATCTCTGCAGTGTAGATAAATGGCTCAAGCTGCCTTATCCGAAGAGTGCTCCTTGATATCATTCAACTTACTCCCTTTGTTTTGATTGCAAGAAATTGCTAATTTACTTGTTTAATTTTTTATATTGATATTATATTCACAAATTCACAAAATCAAAAATTTTAAAAGCCTTATTATATCTCTTTATACCTCCCAGTCTCGATTCACTCAGTTACTCTCTTTCTCTCTATGAGTAATCACTGTTGTCTGTTTCTTGTTTATCCTTTTAGAATTTTTTTAACATATATATAAGCCAAAACAAATACATAGTCTTAGCTATATAAATGGCAGTTAACATGCTATATACAACTCACTTAATGAGAAATGTTGGAGGGGCGCCTGGGTGGCTCAGTCAGTTAAGCGTCCCAACTCTTGATTTTGCCTCAGGTAATGATCTTAGGGTCATGAAATTGAGCCCTGTGTCGGGCTCCATGCTCGGCGTGGAGCCTGCTTAAGATTCTCTCCTTCTCCCTTTCTCCTCTGTGCCCCCCTCCCACCCTGCTCTCTCTCTCTTTCTCTCTCAAAAAAAAAAAAAAAAATGTTGGAGATCTTTCCATATCCCTTCATAAAGAACTTCTTTGTTCTTTTTTTTTTTTTTTTAATAACTGCATAGTATTCCATTGTATGGTTGTGCCAGAATGTATTTTACCATTTTACTAATCAATCCCTTGTTGCTGGTCATTTGGTTGTTTCTAGTCTTTACTATTACTACCAGTGCTGCAAGGAGTAACTTAGGGCTTAATGTTATTCACAGGTTTGAGAATATATTGTTAGTATAAATTTTTAGTTGTAGAATTCCTGTGTTAATGGAATATAGATGCTGCCAAATTGTCTTCTAAAGAATTTGTTCCAATTTATACTCCTATCATCTACATATGAGTATTTGTTTCCCCATATTCTTGCCAACAGTGTATATTCTCAAACTTTTGGAAATTTTGTTAAACTGGTAGGTTAAAAAATGATATTGTAGCGTAGCTTTGATTTTATTTCTCTTATCAGTAATGTTAAGCATCTTTTTCATGTATTTGAGTTAGTTATATTCCCTTTTCTGTGAATTCCCTGTTGTCTTCCACTCATTCTTCTATTGGATCAGTGGTCTTTTTCTTATGGATTTGGAGAAGCTCTTTCTATATTAAGGAGATTAATCTTTGTAATGTGCCTTGCAGATATTTTCCCCAATTCATCATTTCACTTTTGATTTAGCTTATGCTGTATTTTACTATGCACAAGCCTTTGATTTTGTAACTGGGTTTATTAATCTTTTTTTTTAAGTTTCTTTATTTTTTAGGTAATCTCTACACCCAACATTGGGCTTGAACTTATGACCCAAGATCAAGTGTTGCTTGCTCTTCCAACTGAGCCAGCCAGCACCCCAGGGTTTATTAATCTTAATCGTAATAGTTAGAAAGATCTCGGTTATAAAATAATAACACTTATTTTCTTATATTTTCTTTCAGCACTTTTATTGCTTTTTTTTTTTACATTTAAATCTTTGATATATTTGGAATTATCCAAGTGTGTGGTGCAAAGTATAGAGCCAACTTTTTTCTATGATGGCTATCCAGTTTTTTCCCTACTGGATAGCCATCTAGCCATCAAATTTTCCTACTTTCTTAAAAATTTTATTTTATTAATTTATTTTAAGTAATCTCCATACCCAATGTGTGACTTGAACTCACGACTCTGGGATCAAGAGTCACATGCTCTTCCAACCAAGCCAGCCAGGCACTCCAAATTTTCCTACTTCCTAATTTGAACTATCATCTTTATCATATATACTGAAGTCCTGTCTGTTTGGGGGTCTAATTTTGGATTCTTTGTTCTCTTCCATTGGTCTTCTGCCTACTCTTATGCCAGTGCCACATATTTTTAGTTACTGAGGCTTTAAAGTATGTTTCAATATCTCATGAATCTAGTTCCCTCTCTTTGTTCTTCTTTTTCAGAGTTTTCCTGGCTAATCTACTTTTTCCATATGAACTTTAGAATTATTTTTTTCAGTTGCAGGAAAAAATATCTGTGGCCATTTTTATTGAGGTTGGTTCAAATTTTAATAAATTAGTGTAATGATATCTTCAGAATGGGTTTCTCTCTAAGAACATATTGTGTCTTTCCATCCTTTAGAGAATGGATATCCTTAATCAGGCAAAGAGTGTTCTAGTTTGAGTATCAGCTTTAATTCTCACTGTAAATTAACATATTGACATTCTGGTTTTATACATCATTCTGTATAAGCAGTTAATTTGATTCACAATGAGAAATGGTTGCAGTCTTCTCTGATTACTCCCCAGTAAGTCAGGTTTTAGAGCCTGTAAGACAGAGAGCCAGATTCTAGAGCTTGGAAAATCCACCCTTGTAAATAATTGGCGTACATTGCCCATTGGGGTGGCCTTTTGGCAGATAGCCAGACGATCTTTCCCTATAACACTGCAACTATGTATATGCCTTTATTTTAAAAATAAATAGTTTACTTTTAGTAAACTTCACTATTATAAGGAAGTCTATTATCCTTAGTAGTTATACATGGATGGCAGTCTGTTCAGCTGTTATTGATGTTTCTGCATCTGCTTATGAGTAAAAGGGCCCTATATACACTGATGACGTGCTTTGGAAAATTACTGAGTAACTATCTTTGGTCAAATTTTTAATGGAAGTTTTAAATTCTTATATGTTACAGAATTTCACAAACTTATTTGGACAGCCACTAGTCTGCTTGCTTTCTCCTACAGCATATCCAAAAGCTTTACAAGGTATGTTGTCATTACCTGTTATAAACACTGTCTGCATTTTGAATAATACTAATCTTTGTCTCCCCACCTATAATGATCACATGTTGATTTATAGTGCTTAACGTGGCAGGTGTCAGTCTGAAATAAACCCAAAAGTCTTGCCAACAACTAGACTTCTTTAATGCGCTGCCATTAGGTCTTGAGATAATTCTAAAAGAAATGAGGTGTTTTTGGGTGTTTTTGGTCCCTTACTGTTGGGGAACTCATGATTTGTGAATTTTAAAATTTGTTTTGCAGGTGTTTTTTGTTTTGTTTTGTTTTTGTTTTTGTTTTGGTGTGCGTGTCGCCCTTCATACAACATGATTTCCTGTATCTCTGGCTACATGTTTTAGGCATCTTTTTTTTTTTTTTTAATATTTTATTTATTTATTTGACAGAGAGAGAGAGAGCACAAGCAGGGGAAGTGGCAGGCGGAGGGAGAAGCAGGCTTCCCACCAAGCAGGGAGCCCTATGCGGTGCTTGATCCCAGGACCCTGGGATCATGACCTGAGCTGAAGGCAGCCACTTAACTGACTGAGCCACCCAGGCACCCCTATTTTAGGCTTCTTTTAAAACTATATGATTTCTGGTCTAGAAAAACTTCTCAGCCTATGCCTGAGAGTTAGGATAACCTTACTGGCACAACTTAAAGGGTTTCTTTTATTCACATTTTTACCTTGTTGTATTTTTAAAATAAAAGCACCTATTTTCAGTGTGCTAGGGAGACAGTGTGTCCGGGTTATGGCTGTTTCTCAGATGGCTGAGAAATGAAAGACTGTCTTTAATAATTTGTCCTTGATAAGCAGCACGTAAAATAAAATCTAATTCCAACTCCCAGTTATTAAGCTAGGTAAAAACTAAACAAACCTTAACCGTGTTTTAGCAGTCCTTGTCACTGTTTCACCATCTCCCTGACTGAATAGTGCTGATGTCTCTCTGTGGGAGATAGCATTTTACTGCTACTTCCCAGCCAGAAGCCCTGTCTACTGACATAGTTTGACACAGGAAGTGATGGTCAGCATTTGAAAGCCTGAGAGAAGCTGGAGACTTTTCACTGTTGTTTTAAGGTAAGTTTTGCTATTTAACAGGGAAAAAAACCATGTAGAAATATTACGTTCTTGTATCCAAAAGCCGAATTACTAAGGGATAGAACTTACCTTCAAACAACGGTAAAATTCTCCTGCTTTGAGGACTTTGTTAACCTGTTTCCTGTCATTTCTGGAGAAATGTAACCCCTTCCAATTACTTAGTGCTTTCTGCTGTCAATTTGTCCTATTAAGATGCAGCTTTATTTAAAATTGCATGAGCTAATGGGTTAATACCAAGATTATTTGTTCCGAAAGGCTTTATTGCATAGAGGGTAAAAACAGAGACTCTGGAGGTAAGCTGATTGAATTTGAATTCCGACTCAGCCACTGCCTAGCTATGTGACCTTGGGAAGTTACATAGCCATTCTGTGCCTGTTTCTTTCCTATCAAATGGAGATAGTAATAGTACTTCCTCGTTAAATATTTTTGGGTATGTAGTAAGTATTCAATATGTGCTAACTCATTCTTTAATGGTCATTATTATTAATGCTTATTATCACACTTATTTGTTGTATACACCCTTAACACTTTTTAGTCCAGTATCATATCTTTGTGCTAGAAAGCTTAGACGTCTAATCCCTTAAATATGGCCCATCTGAGCACAAAGCTAGCAGATACCTAAATTTTGGGATGTCTAATTAGGTTCCTGCACCTCTAGTAACTAAAGTCTCCAGTTCTCCCTTGAACCACGAGTTACATCATCTGTACAACAAACATTTATTCAGCATTTATTTATCAGGTTCTGTGCTGGGCGCTGGAGTTAACACTCTGACCAGACAAACACAATATGTTCCTCAGAGAGCCAAATGTCTAGCCAAAGATACAGACAACCTAAGAGGCATTTCTTATAGGTGCTATTAGTGGTTCATAGAAGGAAGCATATGGAACACGTAAGAGGAACTCCTGAGCAGCCCTTGCCGGTGAAGAAAATGGATAAAAAGATGTCAGAGTGGAGTTGAAGGTTATATAGAATTATTTGGAGCTGGGACATGGTTAACAAGAGTGTTCTAGCAGAGCAATAGCATGTGAGCCCAGACATAAGAGCTCTGTGATGAGAGAGTTTATGGAACTTTTTTTTTAAGATTTTATTTTTAAGTAATTGTTACACCCAATGTGGGGCTTGAACTCACAACCCCAAGATCAAGAGTCGTGTGCTCTACCCACTGAGCCAGCCGGGTGCCCCAGTTTATGGAACATTTAGAGAAATTAAAGTACTTCCTGCTAGTGGAAGGACAGGGTGTGGGATTGTGTGACTGAATCATGAAAAACCTTTTAGGATTTGTGAAGAGATTAAAATGGAGGACAGTGGGGTGCCATCAAAAGATTGTGAACAGAAGAGTAGCATGGAAGAGCATTCATTAGCCTTGTGGAGAATGGGTTGGAGAGGAGCACTGATGGAAATAGGGAGATGGTGGTGGCTTCAGAAGATACTAAGCCCAAAGAGCCAACAGGATTTGGTGATGGATTGGATATGAGGGAACAAGGGAGAGGAAGGAGGCAGAAGCGAACTTCCAGGTTTCTGGCTAAGATGCTGGTAGAAATGATGGTACCGCATAAGAAGCAGATTTGTAGAGAACAAAAGGGAAGAATTTGCTTTCAATTTCTGACAAGTTGGGTTTGAGGTTACCTTTGAAACTTAGGTTGAATATTGTAGTCTAGAGCAGCTCTGTTCAACAGAAAGATAATGTAAGTCATGTGTAATTTTGAATTTTCTAGTAGCCACATGAAAAAAAGTTTAACAGGTGAAATTAATATATCTTTTTGTAGAGAGGCTCTGAAATCCTACATATATTTTACCTTTCACAGTGCACCTCACTTTGGACCAGTCACATTTGAAGTATCCAGTAGCTACATTAGGACAGTGCAGTTCTAGACCGGGTGAGCTTGATCTAGACTGCAGATAAGAGAACTGGGAATCAGTAGGCATGTAAGTGATAACTGAAATTGTGGGAGTAGGTGAGATCAGCCATGTGTAGGGTCAAAGGGAGAAAATAGTGATATTTAAGGGATAGGTGAGAAAGAGCAACTAACAAAAGGGAATGAAAAAGATGGCCAATTCTAGTACTCATCAGAGAATTCTGTCATGAACCACCCATGTACTTGCCATATTTGGATAAAATTTGTTAGTTGGAGTGAAAAAGACAAAGGACTATGTTCCTTTTCCATTTCTCTTAAGTTTCCTATGCTCTCTCTTAAGTTTGTTCAGCAGAAAGCAGCGTACCTGGGATGTTTTTGTAGTTCCATGCAGAATCTACTTTATTGAATTATGTTTTAATGATACAGCTTTAATTTTGTGTAATATCATTATATTAAAATATTCCTCAAATAGATCTCTTATCTTTTGCAAAACTGTTGTCTATATATATATAACATGTTTGTTATTACAGATCAATCTCAACGAGGTAGCCTCTTCACTCTCTTTTTGAACAATCCTCTAATGGCCTTCCTATTTGTCTCTGGATTGTCAAGCATGCGCAGAGGCCTATGGGAAAAATGTCAAGAATATCTTCGAAAAATCAACCGTGATATTGCCCAGCTACTGACCCATTCACGTTCAATAGGTACCCTACTAATCTAACTGAACACTTAGCATACTATAATGGTTTTATATTGTTGAAATTGTTTGAATTTTTAAAGGTATTTATTGAAGGCAGGAAAGTTGAGAAGGTTTTCGAACTTTCTTCCCCTTTGAAATGAGTTTTTCTTTTAAGCATCTTTTTACTGTCATCTTTCTCCTCTTTGCAGATCAAGCATTTCTCCAGTTTTTTGGAGATGAATTTCTTCGCTTGCTTCTCACAAGATTTATCTTTTGTTCAGCCACCATGAGGATGCACAAGATTTTTCGGGTAGGCAAAGAATATTATTATAGACCAATTTTACCATTTTAGGTATTTAGGAATCATATATTTTATTAAATATACTGTATTAAATAAAATTTTAATAGATTCAAAATAATATTTACAAATTATTATGACATATAAAAATGACCCATATAAGGCACATCTGAATGCCAGTTAAAGAAGTAGAACATTTTCATTACCTTTTAGGCCCTTCCCGGATCCTATCTCTCTCTCTCAAATGAAATTAAAATCCTGAATTTTATAATTATCATTCATTTTTCTTTATAGCTTTGCCATATGTATTATTTATATTCCTACACAACATGTTGATGGATCCAAATTGTATGTATTCTTCTACAGCTTGCTTTTTTTTCACCTACTATTATAGTCCTGAGATTGAGCCAAGTTGATGACAACTGTAACTTTCATCCATTTGTTTTCAGTGTGCTATAGGATTCGATTGTTTGACTGTATATCAAAAATTTCTTGTCCATTCTACTGATAATGGATATTTAGGTTGTTTCCATTTTTTTATTATTATAAACAATGCCACTGTGAAATCTTCTATCAGTTACCTGGTACACATGTATAAGATTTTCTATACTGGGATGTGAGGTCAGATTATATAAGCATCTTCCAACTTTACTAGGTAATGCCAAATGTTTTGCAAAGTGGTTGTATCAATCTACACTCACTAGCAGTGTGTAAGAGTTACTTTTGCTCTAATCCTCACCACTTGTTGCAGTCTTACTTTATATCATGTGACTCTAATGGGTATAAATTAGTAGTTCAGGTGGCGCCTGGGTGGCTCAGTCGTTAAGCGTCTGCCCTCGGCTCAGGTCATGATCCCAGAGTCCTGGGATCGAGCCCCACATCGGACTCCCTGCTCTGCGGGAAGCCTGCTTCACCCTCTCCCACTCCCCCTGCTTGTGTTCTCTCTCTCGCTGTGTATCTCTCTCTGTCAAATAATAAAAAAAAAAAATTAGTAGTTCATTGTGGTTTTAATTTTTATTTCTGAAATTGCTTTTAGGTTGAGTAACTTTTCATGTTTTATTCTTTGTTCCTTTTTGTGAAGAGTGTGTTCAAATCTTTTGTCCATTTTGCTCTTAAGTGATTTGGTTTTTTCTGTGAATTCATATAACTACGTAACACTGTTTATTGAGGTTTTAAAAATTTTAGCCTTTACATTTTTCATTTCTATAAGTAACATTTGGTTCTTTTTCAAATATGCCTGAACATTTTTTAAAGGATTCATTTATTTACTTGGGGCGGGGGGGAAGAGCAGAGAGAAACCAGAAAGAGAGAGAATCTCCAGCAGACTCTGCATTGAATGTGGAGCCTGATGCAGGGCTCAGTCTCATGACCCTGAGATCCTGACCTGAGCTGAAACCAAGAGTTGGATACTTAACCAACTGAGCCACCCAGGCACCCCTATGCCTAAACATTTTTAAGTCTCTTGTAACTTTTAGTTTAAAAATAGGATGTTTTTTTTCCATTTTATTATGGTAATTTTAAATATGAAAGAATTGTACAATGAATATCCATATATACACTAGCTAGATTCTGCAGCTAACATTTTGATATATTTGTTTTGGTACATTTATCCATTCCTCTTTTCATTCATCAGTTTATCTCATTTTGTGATGCATTTTGAAATAAATGGTGGACATCAATAGATTTTACCCCTCAACACTTCATCATACATATAAATAACTATACACACACACACACTTTTTTAAAGTTTTATTTTATTATGTTATGTTAATTACCATACATTACATCATTAGTTTTTGATGTAGTGTTCCATGATTCATTGTTTGCATATAACACCCAGTGCTCCATTCAATACGTGCCCTCTTTAATACCCATCACCAGGCTAACCCATCCCCTGACCCTCCTCCCCTCTAGAACCCTGAGTTTGTTTCTCAGAGTCCATAGTCTCTCATGGTTCATCTCCCCACTTCTTTTTTTTTAATGTGAAGTTCGTATACAGTGAAGTGCACAAAACTAACATGTGCCATTAGGTGAGTTTTGACAAATACATACACCCGTGTATCAAGTTATACAACATAGCATCATTCCAGAAAATTCTCTCTAAACCCTTTTCCAGTCAGTCCAGTACCCATTACCCCAGAGGCAATGCTATTTTTTATTATTTTCACTATAGCTTAGTTTCACCTATTCATGAACTTGAATTATACAGTGTGTACGTCTTTGTGTAAACCTTCTTTGACCAAGCATGTTGTTCTTTTTTTTTTTTTTTTTAAGATTTTATTTGTTTGACAGAGAGAGACACAGCGAGAGAGGGAACACAAGCAGGGGGAGTGGGAAAGGGAGAAGCAGGCTTCCCGCGGAGCAGGGAGCCCGATGTGGGGCTCAATTCCAGGACCCTGGGATCATGACCTGAGCCGAAGGCAGATGCTTAACGACTGAGCCACCCGGGTGCCCCCAAGCATGTTGTTCTTGAGATTCATCCATGTTTCATATAAAAGGAGCTCATTCCTCTTTATTACTGAGTAGTAGTAGTCCATTGTCTGAATATACCACAGTTTATTTGCCTTCTCCTTTTGATGAACACCTGGGCAGTTTTAAATTTTTGACTACTGTAAATAAACTGGCTGTGAACATTCTTGTACAAGTCTGCTCAGACATATATTTTGAATTTTTTTGGTCATAGGGTAGGTATGTGTTTAGTTTTATCATAAACTGCCATTTCTCAGAGTATTTGTACCATTTTATGTTTCTAGCAACAGTGTATGAAAGTTTCTCTATATATATCCTTGCCAACATTTGGTGTTGTCAGTCTTTTAAATTTCAACCATTTTTGTGAATATTTTTTTAAAGATTTTTATTTATTTAAGAGAGAATGAGCATGAGTGGGGGAGGGGCAGAGGGAGAACCAGACTCCCTGCTGAGTAGGGAACCCAATGTGGGGCTTAATTCCAGGACCCCAGGATCACGACCCGAGCCGAAGGCAGATGCCCAACTGACTGAGCCACCAGGCGCCCCCATTTTTGTGAATTTATAGTGTTATCTCATTGTAGTTTCAATTTGCATTTCACTGAATAATGTGATGTTAGACATCTTTTCATGTGCTTCTCAACTATATTTTATTGCATTCTGTGGCTTACCTTTTTCTTTTCTTGAACAGTGGCTTTTCTTAACAGTTGCTTTTAAATTCTTGATGAAGTTTCAACTAACCAATTTTTTTCTTTTGTGGTTTGTGTTTTATCCAAGAAATTTTCACCTATTCCAAAGTTACAAAGATTTTTTCCAAGTTTTCTTCTAGAAGTGTTATAGCTTTAGCTTTTTTACACTTAGGTCTGTGATGTATCTTGAGTTATTTTTGTTTACAGTGTAAGGTAAGGGTTAATGGTTTTTTCTTTCATATGGATATGAAATTATTTTAGTATCATTGAAATGGTTATCCTTTTCTCTTTGAATTACTTTTGTAACGTTTTTGAAACTGTCAACCATATATGTATAGAGATATTTCTAGACTCTAAATTCTGTTTCATTGACCAATGGCATTTTTCTCCAATACACTGCTACCTTAATTATTCCAGTTTTTTTTTTTGATTGATTATTCCAGTTTTATATTAAGTCTTAAAATCCTGTAGTGTGAGTTCCCCTAAAATTTAAGTGTTTTGGTTATTCTGGGTCCTTTCTATGTGAAATTTAGCAGCAACTTCACATTTTGATTGGGATTGCACTTAATCTATGTAACCAATCTATGGAGAATTGTATTTTAATAATATTGAGTCAATCAATGACTATGGTGTATTTCCCCATTTATTTAGGTCTTCAGTTTCTCTCAGCAGTGTTTTGTGATTCTCATCTTATAGGTGTTATATGTATCTTAATAAATTTATTCCTGAGTATTTCAATTTTAGAGAGGCATTATAAATAGAATTATATTTTTATTTCATATTCTAATTATTAGTTGCTAATACACAGAAATACTGCTGTTTTTAAAATTGACCTTGTTTCCTTGCAGTCTTCCTAAATTGAAATGTTAGTTCTGCTAGCTTTTTTTATACATTCCTTAAGATTTTGTATGTACATAATCATGTCATTTTCAAACAAAATAGTTTTTACTTCATCCTTTCCAATCTCTATGTCTTTTATTATGGTGGGGATTTGTTTGTTTTGTTTTTGCTTTTGTACTTTATTTCAAGGTTAGGTCTTCTGGTAAAATGTTGAATAGAACTAGTGAGAATGGACATCCTTGCCTTGTTCCTGGGTTTTGGGGAAAAATATTTAATCTTTTACCATAAATTAGGTGTTGACTGTTGGTTTTTCATAGATGTCCTGTTTCAGGTTGACTGAGCTCCCTTCTGTTCCTAATCTGTTGAGATTTTTTTTTATCAGTAATAGGTATGGAAGATTGTCAAATACTTTTTTTTCTTCATTAAATGATCTAATAAATATTAATTCTATTAACACGGTGAATAGCATTGGTTGATTTTTCTAACAGTAAGTTCAGCCTTGTATATCTGGGTTAATTGTATTTTGTGGTCATGTATTATCCTTTTGCATTGCTGGATTCAATTTGCTAGTATTTCCTTATGGATCTTTACATCTTTTGTTATGAGTGAGTATGGGACTTAATTTTCTATTCTTATAATGTCTTCGTCTGGTTTTGTTATCAGGGTATTGCTGACTTCGTAAATTGAGTTGGGATGTGTTTCATTCTCTTCTACTTCTTATAGTTTCTTTAGGGTTGGTATTATTTCTTCCTTGAAAGGTTGATAGCATTCACTAGTAAAGCATCTAGACATGGAGTTTTCCTTTTTGGAAGTTTTTAAATTTTGAGTTCAATTTCAAAGGCTTTTCATGTTTTCTGTTTTTCTTAGTCAATTTTGATCATTTGTGTCTTACAAGTTCATTTGTCTAATTTATTGCAAAACATTGTCCATAATATTCCATTATCCTTTTAATCCATATAGGCTCTCCAGTGATCTTTTATTTTATTTATTTTATTTTTTTTTTTTTAATTTTTATTT